TGTTTTCTACGCTCGAGTGGGTTTCTTGCGCTCAAGCGGGTTGCGCTCGAACGGGCTTGTTGGCGCTCGAGCGGGTAGTACCTAGTTGGTGAAAGTTCTGGGAGTTGAAAATCTACGCTCGAGCGGACTGGTCTTTCGCGCTCGAGCGGGTATGCTTTGTCTTTGTGTCTTGGAGCTCGAGCGGAAATTCTTACGCTCGAGCGGACCCAGTTTCCTGTTCTTGACGCTCGAGCGTCCTGTTTTCCGCTCGAGCGGGAATGTCGTATATCAGTTGACAGCTGGGCGTTTTAAAATCATTTTTTACATTCTCTCTCTCTCTCTCTTACTTTCTAAAAAGATATTTGAGAGCTCCTCTCTCTAGAAACTCCCTTCTCTCTAGGGTTTGATCTAGTTAGAGTGCTTCCCTTTCCTTTGGCCTTTGTAAAGAGTGTGTTGATCGTCGAGGGCTTCGTTTTGATCCGAGAATCTTGGTGTTTGGAGCATTTTCGTTTTCTTCTCCTTCTCCGTTTGAGCTCTAACTTCGAGGTAGGGATATCCTACCCCTCTTTATGAGCTTTGTCTTTGAATTTTAGTATTTTGATATGTTGGGGGTTGTTGAGTAATTTTGAGAAAGTTTGGGTCTTTGTGTGATTTTACAAAAGATGGGGTTTTATTTATAATTAAACCTATATGCATGTTTGGCATGGAGAAGTGAGATGGATGATGAACTATGGATGAAAGTGGAACCTTGGGGTTGTTATGTTAATTATAGGAAAATGCCCTAATTAGTTGGATAAATTAATTTGTATAATTGAAAGGATTATGGGATTAGAGGGTATAGTTGGATTATTTATCACTCACCAAATTGAAGTGTTGATATTTTATCCATTTTGTACATTTATTTTTTGTTTAGAAATAACTGCTTTGGGCTATCGGTGGAGGATAGTCTTGATTGTTGTAGACAATGTATGATGATTAGGCAAACTAAAACTAATCGATTGAGTGTGCTATCGAATATAACGGTTGGAATAATGCATCAACCTTATGTATTGATTGTTTATGTATATGATCTATAGTTATATACATTGTGTGTGTGTGGGAGTAGATAGGGGATGTACTCCACGGTTTAGGGAAAGAAAGATAGGGGATGGACCTCTAAGCCGGATTGTGTGTGACATTGATACAGCACTACCATGTGTTTCAAGTGTTGATTATGGAAGTGTTTAAATTGATTTGATATAGCACTAAAATGTATATCATTATCAATTGTGAGATATAGAAGTGTTTCTATGTTATGTTGATATAGCAACAAAATGTGTATCGTTCGTATAGTATAGGCAGTGGTTTATGTGTTATTGATACAGCATCAAAATGTGTATCCATCATGAATTTCGAAAGTGTTTTTTTAAGATGAATCTTATTCTCATTAAGTTATTTGACTAAGTGTTGAGCCTTGTTTTCAAACTCAAGATTGAAAAAGAAATGAGAAATGAAATGTAACATGGACTTAAATGTCATGAAACTGAAATGTGATATAAGTGAGTGTATCGGTGTTGACCATCTATCAACTGCTAATATTTTAGTCATTATTCATAGCTAGTTTAGTGTATTTCTGCTGGGCTATGGCTCACCCTTTATGGGACATCATTTTCAGGTACAGGTAACATACCACCTCCAAGGACATAGTTTGAGAGGCTAGAGGCAGACAGATTGCTTTTGTTGTTTGTTTTCTTTTGATGTATTACATGTAAATTCAAGCCAAGGGCTTAATATGTATTGAGTTAGTACTCTTCTTTTTGTAACCAAGTGTTAACTTGGAAAGCTGTAAGCCCGTAGGGCACTTGCTTTTGTTGTTAACATGTAATATTTTTGTAAGAACTACTCTGTTCAATGGAAATATGATTGGTTTCTTTTATGTCAATGCATGTTTAAAGTGACAGGTTTTACATATTATTTTGAGGGCGTTACATTTATCTTTATCCATACTAAGGTCCTCTCCAGTTCTAGGACTCATGTCCCTTATCCGCTTATCTCGGATTCCGGTATCTCCGCAGTTAACATCGGCCTAGCTGAGATCACCTAGGCGTCATAACCAAGACACGTGGCACTTCGGCTGACACTTCGGCGTCACCTTGGCCACGTGTTGTCATTCAAAAAACATATCCCCATAACTGTCCCCTAGGTTCTATTACCTCGGCATCCTGAGGTGATGAAACCTACATCGCTTGTCCACATAGTACGTCGGCTAACACTTACTCCATCCTTCATGGTCGATATCATCACACGTCGGCTTCTCATGACCAAGACTCTATAGTCTACTTTATCAATGACCAAGAACCAAGTTCTTCAAGTTTCTTAAACGAGATCGCTCCTATAGCCGAGGTTTTTGTTTTATTAAATCAAGAATTCCAAGAGTTTTATCTGCGCATGAGCTGTCACGCACTGTTTACTTAACTGTTTTCTCTACACGTCGCTTTCTCAATGGTTCGTACCTGACACGTGCAATCAGGTTGCGTTGTGTCTGCACATGCCGCCTGACAAACACGTCGTCCAAGGCATTCCATTATGGTTTGCCGCTCTTTTTAATTTTTAACAAAAACAACGTCTCCCTCTCTCTGTCGTTTCACTTTGCATTCCTTCGTTTTTTCTCAAGCTTTCTCTCTCTAAAGCTTCTCTCCCAAATCCTGCATTGTCATTCCTTTCGAGCTCTGCAACTACTGTATTTATCACCCCCGGCGTACTTTTCATCATTTGCTTTCGATCATTCTCATCGTCTGACTCCGACGACCTTCATATCGGCATTCATTTCACTCGGTAAGTTCACAATTCCTTCCCCCTTAAGTTTGGTCTCTGATTTATTTCGAACTCTATTACATGTTTATACGTTGTTTGCTGCCATTGTGAATTTGTTTTAAGTTTTTGAATCTTTACTTGTACTTTGAATTTCATCATTTTGGGTGTCAAACGTGCTTGTTTGCGACTTAGTTATTCAATATGTCTCTGGGTCTACATACATAGTTCATGGCCCTTGTGCACACATACGCACTGTTCATTTTAACAGTTGGTCACAGTTCTTGACTTTTGCACAGTTGCACACACTTACACAGTGTTCTTGAATTTCTGTTTGTTTTCTTGAGTCTGAATCATATTCTTTTCTGTTTTTCTTTGACCTGTTTCCAGATTCTTTGATTTCTTGTCTCCGTATAGATTTAGGTTTGGGACTTGAAAGAATCTACATTCCTTAGGGAAATTGAAACAAATTCCCCCTATATCTTGAAAAACCCTTGCTCCAATTCCTGTTTAGGGTTTAGCCGAGATCTTTAAACCCACACCAAACATTCTTTTATGAAATTTTTCCCTAATCGTCATAAGCCGACATCGTGGATATGTTTTGGTGGAGAGTAGATACCCATAAAAAATATAGTATTTTTGTCGAGAGTTCTCCATCTCAGTCGATGTTCACCTTAGGCTAGCTGGGGAGGAGGACTCTATCATGCCTGATGGGGATTTCATGCCCTTCCCAATCGTTGCTTTCATAGAGTGTGGACTTAGGTTCCCTCTAGATATTCTTTTCTGAGAAATCCTTCATTATTACAAGCTCAACCCGATGCAACTGGCCATTAACTCCTATAAGGTCATCAATGGTATAATTGCTTTAGCTAGCTGAAAAAACACTAGGATAACACTAGCCAACATCCAATATTGTTATATCATGTGTGGCCTGAAATTCGAAAAAGGCTACATCTATTACGTCAAGTTGAGATCCACAGCCTATAAACCCATAGCTGACCTCCCAGACTCCAACAAAGGTGCTGGAGGTGATTACTTCATTGTCTTAGGCAACTGGGAATTTGCACCTAATGACAACCTTCATCTCTATCCTCTATGCCGATCGGTGTTTTAAAAAGGATGAAGATAAGAACCAAGTGTCAACTTTTCTATTTAAGACTTATCATTATATCCTTCTATATGTTCTAATGTGTGAATTTTGTTCTTTCAGCTCTCCCTCAACCCTTAAAAGATTTTCGCCAGTCTTTCTTTCCTAGTAAGGACTTGAAAAGGCTGTTGGGCTTGCCGGTTTACCAGCGTAAAGCCCCTCTGCTGCTCAACTACATTCCAACTTACAAATCTACCTTGCCCGATGTCCCTTGCCGATGTAAGACTCCCCCTTCTACCATAACTCTACCAACAACTTCATCTCCCAGGCCAGATCAGGCTTCATCATCTGTTCCAACGGAGGTTGCATCAACATCAGCCCCCCAACTTATCCCGACATCCCAACGCCAATGCCGACGCTGAGCTCCAATCTCTGCCCCTACAGGGAAGACTCAAAGTCGCAGACGCAGAGGTTCTGATACTCTTACCGCCCTTCTAACAATACACTTTGGCACTAAAGTAACAGTTGCTTCCACTGCCGATGAAATGGGCCGCAAATTGACAGTTATTGAAGACCTTCTCATCAATATCCCCGGGGTTGTGACAGTGCAGTTCTCGTCTTTCCCATCCCAACCAAATCCAAAGTCGAAAAGAGTGAAGAAGGGCAAGGCTAAGGCTACAGTGACTTGGATTGATTCTGAGGACACTGTGCCAATTTCTAAACTGGTCGAGGCTAAAAAGAGCACTCCTTCTGCCGACAAAAGACCAGCCAAGGCCCCATTATCCGATGCCCTACCAGCCAAAAAGCCAAGATCCGACCACCCCGATGGCAGCAGTTTTCCTCACACTATGACCTGGGCGCCCAAGGTTATGGTAGACGACAGACCCTTAACAGCCGGTGACAGGGCAATGAATCTTGAAGTCGACGCAGCCCTGTCAACGGCTGTTTTTTTACCAGAAGACATGAATCGTATGGCTGAGTTGCATGAATATGAGAACTTCGCTCTTATGATGTAGCACTCGGTCTTGGTAATCCTCTTTTACTTACTCTTTTACAGTTTTTCTATAATTAGTAAAATCTCACTAATGTATTTTACTTCTTGCAGGCTATTCAGCATGCTCACTCATATACTTTCAAGACCGAGATGACAAAGAAGAAGTTGGTAAGGAAGACCAAGGAAGCTGTCAAACTCCTATCCTTACTCAATCACGCTAAGGTCAATAATCGAGCTCTATTGGATCAGGCTAAGGCAGCCAAAGCTGCTCAAAATCTGGCCGAAGAAAAAGCTAAATTGGCCAATGATGAGGCCGAGGTCGCCAGAGCTGATCTTGCGGCTGCCAAGGCCAAGGCAGCTGGCCTAGAGGCTAAGCTTCAGGAGGCCCTTGACTCAAAGGAGGCCAAAGTCAAGGCGGTCGATGAAAAAGCTTTTGAAGAGGGGCAAGCCGCCGTCCGCGGCCAATACCAACAACAAGTCAATCTAGCTTGTGACTGAGGTTACTACCTTGGTTGGACGGCAGCGCTCAACAAGTTAACTATTTCCATGGACTCCGACCTCCAAGACATCAATCAGCTTCAAGTGCCTTTCTTCCAGAGCTCGAAGATGATACCGAGAATGATAAAGCTGATGAAGTGGTGGAGGAGGCTACCACTGATGCCAAGTCTCCCACCCTCAATGAGCAAATAGACTTGACTCAAGATGAGGAGGATGACTTGGTTTCTAAGGGCGTCTCTCCCATACCAACCACATCTGAGGCCGAGGTCCAGTGCTCCAAACGGAGTTTGGACCAGACTCTACTCGAAATAAATGCCGAAATAGCGACAAAGAAAAATGCAATGCTGCCAACCGAGGCCGACAAGACTCTATCAGCCGAAGTTGAGCAATCCCAAACCAATCCTAACGCTTAGGATATCTCTTCTTTGTTTTGTACTTTTCCTTCTTTTTTTTGAATAATGTTAGCTTTAGTCTGGCCGATATGCCCTCTTTTGTACCTCGAATAAGTTGTCTTTTGCCAGGCCAAAGTGCCTTTTTTTTAATGCAAGTCTTTTCTTTTCTTCCAAGTGTTGAATGTTTTTTTCATGTATGCTTTACTGCTTTCTTTTATGCCTTTTAAGCTTCCATACTTAGAATATTTTTGCACTTCTTCAAAGTATACTTTTAACTGTATAATAACTCTGGGGTATAATACCTTGGATACAAACCTGGGCTGTTTGCCTTGGCCAACCAGAGGAATACCTCGACTAACACTTAAAAACATCAAAATATTTTTACAAGTGTTATTCAATATTGCTTTGTACTTTCACACGCTATCTTCTTTCAAGACTTCACCCTTTCCAAGCTTGGCAACCTGGTTGGCCATCTTGGCCAATATGTATCTTGGATACTTCTTTTGATATTACCTTAGTTAATCTTCAGCCTGTAAATTTTTCTGAAATTTAAACAAGTGTTAAGCCAATTCTAGCTTGTAAATTTTTCTATAAAATTTCAATAAGTCCCAAGCACTTTAAACTTTTACTTATCATTCTCCACCTCTCTGCCCCCTAATGTGAACTTAAATTTCACATTAAGCACGTATAATCTTTTGTCGAAGTCGGATTCAAACAAAGACTAGTTGAGGTTCTCAACCTTAGTTTCTCTGTTAATCTAACTGAAATGCACTTAGTTTCACACTAAGTTTAATGGCAAGTCTAGTTTCAATTCAACTTAGTTCAACTCTATTATATGCAAGTATGATTCAACTCTGCCACATAATAAGTCTAAGTTATTCATCATGTTTCAATCAGAAACATCGCCAACTTAGTTTAACTTCATTATATGCAAGTATAATTCAACTATGTCATACAATAAGTCTAAGTTATTCGTTATGTTTCAATTAGAAACATCGCCAACTTAGTTCAACTCTATTATATGCAAGTATAAGTTATTCATCATGTTTCAATCATAAACATCGCCAAAGGACTGGTTAGTCTTATTACACAAATTTCAAAATCAAGCTAAAATTTTATTATTATGTCGGCTAATGACATAAACTTTAAAAAAATAAAAATCTAATGATAGAAAAACTTCAAGTTGCAAGTGTTCCAGGGTCTTGACAACTCTTTTCCCTCACTGTCTTCAAGCCGATATGCCCCATTACCGACGACTGAGATAATTCTATAAGGCCCCTCCTAATTTGGGCCAAGCTTGGCCTCCCTAGGATCTTTCTTGTTGCCGACTACTTTCCTTAGGACAAGGTCCCCAACTTTGAACTCTCTTGGGTTGACCTTCTTGTTGTAAGCCCTAGCAAGTTGTTGTTGGTATGCCCCCAGCTGAATTATTGCTCTTTCTCTTTTCTCCTCCAGAAGGTCTAGATCTTAGGCTAGAAATGCTTCGTTAGTACCATTTTCTACTCCCTGGGTTCTGATCCCTGCAATGCCGACTTCTAGTGGGATAACTGCTTTAGTGCCATAAGCCATAGCGAATGGAGACTTCCCAGTTGATCTTCTCAGCATAGTCCGATATGCCCATAGCACATTGGGCAATTTCTTCACCCATTTTTCCTTTGCTACTTTCAGCCTCTTTTTGACCCATCGAAGATAGTCTTATTAGATGCTTCTGCCTGACCATTACTTTAAGGAAAACTTGAAGTAGAGTAATAGTTCTTAATTTTATACTTTGCACATAAGCTTTTAATTAGCTTACTGCCAAATTGTGTACCATTGCCTGCTATTATTGCCCTTGAGATCCCAAACCTGGTGATGATATTCTTCCACATGAAGTTCTTCACATCAATACCCCGAATCTTCGCAAGGGGTTCAACTTCTACCCACTTTGTGAAATAGTCAGTTGCTACCAGCAGAAACTTCCTTTGTCTAGTTGCTTGGGGTAGTTGTCCAACAAGATTTATGCCCCACTGGGCAAATGGCCTAAGGCTGGACACTAGGTTCAAATCTGCTGCTGGTTGATGTATTAAAGGTGCGAACCTTTGACACTTCTCACACTTTCTGACATAGGCTTCAACATCCTTCTGCATGTAGGGCCACCAGTACCCCTAAGTAATGGCCCTATGGGCAAGTGATTTTCCCTCAGTATGGCTTTCACATACTCCTTCATGTATTTCATATAAGAAGTCTTCAACTTTGGAGGGATGCACACATCTCAAAATGGGACCAGTAAAAGACCTTCTGTAGAGATGTCCTTCTACTGTCAGGCTAAACCTAGCCGACTTCAGTCTAGTCTTGTGTGCTTCTTTGCGATCATTTGGCAGCTTCCCAGGTCTTTTCTTGTTCCCGTGGACATCCTAAGCCGCAGCCCACTGGAGCCCGACATGGGATGGCTCCAGTTATGAACTTGGCCACAAAGTCAGCCAAAACCTGGCCTTTAATTGCTATTATGGGCCTAAATTCAAGGACGTATTGGCCTAATACTATTGCCCATTTAGCTACCTTGCCCGTCAGATCTCCTTTTTGTAGTAGGGACTTCAAGGGATGTTCAGTCAATACCACAATCTTGTGGGTTTGGAAATAATGGTTCAACTTCTTGAAGGCCATAATTAAGGCCATTGTCAATTTCTCTAGTGGTAAGTACCTGATCTCTCCTCCTGCTAAGGTTTTGCTCACATAGTATACTGCCCTTTGTTCTCTCTTCTCTTCTCTGATTACCACTGCACTTACTACATTCTCCCTTCATCTCCAGGTACTAAATTTGATAGCACTAGAGCTGTGGTCAGGTATCTTTTCAAGTTGGCTAAGGCGACTTCACATTCCTCTACCCACAAGAAATCTGTGGCCTTTTTAAACAGACTGAAAAATGGTTTACATTTATCTAAACTTCTGCTTATAAATCTGTTTAGGGCTGGGCCTTTCCAGTCAACATTCGCACTTGTTTTGCTGACGTTGGGCTTTTCAAATCCATGATGGCCTTAATTTGATCTGGAGTATCCCAAGAACTTACCTGATCCAACTCCAAATACACATTTTGAAGCATTGAGTCAGAGCCGATATGTTCTAAGGATGTCGAAAACTATCTTCGGCCAAATGATCCTCAGGTTCTTTGGTCTTCACGACCATGTCATCAATGTATATTACCACTGTTTTGCCAATCAGATGTCTGAACATGTTAGTCACTAACCTCTGGTACGTTGCTCCTGCATTTTTCAACCTGAAATGCATCACTCTGTAACAATACAGCCCTTTTGGGATGATAAATGCAATCTTCTCTTCATCAGGGGGGTATACTGCTATATGATGGTACCCCCTGTAAACGTCCAGAAAGCTCATCCTTCCATGCTTTGAAGTGGCATCCACTAATTGATTGATCTTGGTGAGCGGGAAATTGTCTTTGGGACAAGCTTTATTCAGGCTAGTCAAGTCCACTCTGACCCTCCACTTCTCATTCTTCTTTTTCACAACCATAGTGTTCGACAGCCAAGTAGGGTAGTTTACATCTCGGATGGCTTTGGCCCTTAACAATTTGTCCACTTCCTCCTCTACTGCCTCCACATGAACCAAAGTCGGCCTTCTTGCTTGCTGGATGATAGGTTTGGCCAAAATATCTACATTTAATCTGTGGCAAGTGACATCGGGGTCAATGCCAAACATCTTGTATGGCGTCCAAGAAAACACCTCTATGTTTGCTCATAAGAATGACTCTAACGCCTTCTCCTTCTCCTCAGCCAAACCTGAGTCGAGAAGGAAGAAGCGCTCTTTATCCCCTTGTTGGACCAGGATCCTCTTTAAGGCTTCCTCACTTTTGTTAGCCAGCACTTTGCCAACGTCATTCAGGACCTCCATGTCCTCATCCTCAATTTCGATTGTCTCTGCCTCTCGCACGTTGCAGGTGGATTTCATTGCCACCATGGAACAATTCTTTGCTTGCACCTGGTCCCCTTTGACCTCCTCAATTCCATGCTCTGTTGGGAACCGCAACAGCTGGTGCAGTGTTGAGGGAACAGCCCTCATTGCATGCAACCATAGCCTCTCCAAGATAACATTGTAAGGGGAGGTAGTGTCAATTACTGTGAACTCTGTACTTACCTTCGTGGTGCTTACCTGCACCTCCAAACTTATTGCTCCCAGGGGCTATGTCGGCGTTTTATTGAACTCGACTATTAGACTGTTGGACTGCTCTAGATCATTTCAATGAAGGCCGAGCTCCTTGTAACATCTGACATACATGATGTCACAAGAGCTGCCTTGGTCAATCAGAATGCGTCTTACCTGGTATTCTCTAATCTTGAGGGATATCACCAGAGTATTGTTGTGTAGATGCTGCACCATGTTTAGGTCGGCTTCAGTAAAGGATACCACTGGTCCCTGCTATTTGTCTACCTTAGGCCTCTTTTGCTGGACCTGATACACATGTTGTAAGTGCTTTACCCTCTGCGTCCTTCCACGTACCTCATTCTCATTGACCTTCGAGTGAATCACATTGATCACTCAAGGTTCGTCTACTTGTAGTTGTGGTGCTGGTGGAATTGGTGCTGCTGGTGCTTGGGGCAGCCTTGCTTGCTTTTCCCTTGTTCTAGCCTCATCTACTAGGTCTCTTAAGTGACTTTTAGGGCTCCACAACCCTGTGTCAGGTGTCCATCTTCATTGTGGTAAGCACAGTGCTTTCCCAGGCTTCTTTCCATGAATTCGTCAAGAACCTTTTCTGGCGCTCTATAATACGGCTGGTTCTTGATTCTTTCCAGAACTTTGGCCCCGTTTGGTGTAGCTGTTAAAACAGCTTATAGATTATAGCTTAATAGATTATAGATTATGACTTTAATCAGAAGTTATTAATCTGTTTAGTGTAGCTGTTGGATTATAGATTTAAGTTGCTGAGTAGTGTTTGTTAAATAAGCTGTGAAATAGCTTTTTCAATTAATTTTTATTTTTTGTTTGTCTACATTTCCCATAAAAAATAATAATAATAATGTATAGTCCAT